GGTAATCTCCCAAGTAACACATAAAGCAACCCTAAGAAGCACGTCAAAGCCATTAAAATGTGAAGTGGGGTGCAGCTACCTGAAATACATGTCAAGAGGCCCGGTGTGAATGAGAGACGACACCTCTTGTAGAGGAAGAAATTGTGGCGCAGGACAAACAACCAAATGAATCATCTCTAAAGGAAAGTTCGGAGAAATCACGAGATAAGGCCACAGCTACATTCAACCCATACGAGACTCTAATTTCATTTTCCCAGCGGTTAAAGAAGCATAAAATGGAGCAGCAATACAAGAAATTTCTAGAAGTCTTCAAGAATCTCTACATCAATATCCTGCTCACCGATGCACTATTCCAGATGCCCAGCTATACAAAGTTTTTGAAGGACATGTTATCAAATAAATGCAAGCTGGAGGATCATAAGTCAGTAATACTAACTGAGGAATGCAGCACCAGATTTTAGAAAAAGGTCCCACCAAAATTGAAAGATCCGGGGAGTTTCACTGTCCCTTGCACAATTGGTGATTTTTATTTTAATAAAGCATTGTGTGATCTTAGTGCGAGTATTAACTTGATGCCACTCTCTATATTCAGGAAACTAGGATGGAGAGAACCTAAAGTAACTATAGTAACTCTACAGCTGGCTAATCGATTACTTACACATCCACGAGGGATTATCGAAGATAAATTGATCAAAGTGAATAAACTCATATTCCCAGCGGATTTCTTGATTTTGGACATGGAAGAAGACAAGGACATGTCTACCATATTGGGACGATCAATTTTGGCTACTGCAAGAGCTCTCATAGATGTGTAGCATGGATAATTAACTCTGAGGCTGGGGGAGGAGCAAGTTTCTTTTAATGTTTTCAAGGCAATGAAATCCCCCAACGAGCCTAAAAGCTATTTCCAGATTGAAGTGGTTGACATAAGAATCCCCTATAATTTTGAGTTGAATAAATAGCCAGACGTTCATGAGACCTGTGTAGTGTACTCTCCATCCACTCTCACTGATTCAAGGAAGATTAAGGCATTCAATATGGGATTTCATACGGATGAGGAGAGAAAGTCAACCACTTGTAGAAGGACAGGGATGAAATTTGGAGGATAACTACAGTGCGAAACAAGATCATATTGAGCAAACTACGTAGGACCTCCCAAACCATATTTAAAGTTCCATAAAATACTTGTGCCAAAAGTCGAATTATCAACTATAAAATAGCGCTGGGTGTGAGGCAACCCACTATATTCTTTTAAATTATTTTGTTTTTTGCATTAGTTTACGAATCTTTCAATTTTATGGTTTCATTATTTATAGTTTAGGTCATCACTCCTCCATGCATGTTAATGAATAGCCTAAACACAATCTACGCGAGTCCCTATGCATTGAGCATGATTTATGAGGTTGAAGTCCTGTTTTAGTCAATCATGGGTCAAATTGAACAAAGCACATGTTTAGAGCTAAGTTTCATTAGTGATTTACATTTTTATGATATGTACTTTATATTTAAACATAATTTATGCATCTTTTATGCCAACAATGTACACATGCACCTTGAAGCAAGTTTGGGGGATTTGATGCCACCAAAAAGAGTGTCCATGGAAAGGAGACAGCACTGCGGATCTTAGTTTTATTCACCACCTCCATATAAATCAGAGGAGTACTCGTACCCCATCTTGTTCTTTTACTTTATTATTATCCTTCAATTATGTCTGTTTAAACTTTTATTTCATTTTCACATTGAAGGCAATCTTATGAATAAGTTTGGGGGTGGCATAATTTTGGTTTCCATTTTTCGTCGCATCGTTTATATTCATCAATAACCGTGTTTACTTTTTTTTTTTCTTTCTGTGTGATTGTTGAATGAAAAAAAGAAGGAAAAGAAGTGGATAATTGGCATGTTTTTTCTATTTCTTTTACGAATTTGTGTACTTGTGTGGGCTTGATAGCCTTGTCGGCTATGATGTGACTATTGGAATAATATAATTAGAAAATGTGTATATGGTGCAAAAGTTGATTAACCTGTATTTGTTGATATAATACTTGAAAATTCTTTGTGCACGCTACTCATGCTCTACATGTTAGGTCAGTGATTATGTTTTTGAACAAAGTAGGAGAAACCAAAAAACCTCTAGTATATAGACCCATAAGCCATTTTTAAAATAGTTTGGAGATTGTTGAACAATTATAGGGAAACTTTGAGATGAGTGGGGGCTCCATGCTTGAATTTTTATTGTGTAGATTGCCCAGACCAGTGAGATGAAGATTAGGTGAAAGCTTTAAGTTGGGGTTGGAAACTGAATTTCTAGAAAAACAGAAAGGGGCATAAAACTAATTTGTATGAAAATAACACTTCTCTCAAAACCCTTATGACTCCAGCAAGTAAGCTTGTAAGGGTGTTTTGGAACCTGGTGCCCTAAAGCCAACTGGTTTGGGAGTCACCGGTCCAAAGCTCACTACATGGATCATATAGAAAGCAAGAAATGGAGAAGTTAATAAAAAGTCATCTGATCGAACCTTTATAACTCGAGTGAATAAGTCTGCAAGGATTTAAAATCTGGTGCCCTAAAGCCAATTGATTTGGGAGTTATCGACTTAAAGCTCACTACAGGGATTATATAGAAAGCAAATGAGGAGATGACAATAAAAAAAACTAAAAAACTTAAAAAAAAAAAGCAGAAAATAAGTGAATAAAAGACACAATAACATGAAGAAAGCCCTTGGACATTTTGTTGATGAAACTACACCTTTAATGTGATGCAAGTAGCTTAGTTTAATCTTAAGGGTTGAAACAATCAAATTAGGAGAGCCTCTACTTGTTGACATGTGAACCTGTAGTAGTGAAATCTATCCAAGCTAAGAGAGAGTATGGACTTAGTTGCTTAAACTCCTAACTTTAGAACACACCTAGGGATAATTGAATGAAAAGAATAAATTTGGGGGGTGTGTATCTCCCGAGCAAAGTAAGGATATATTTGACCATTATGAGTCAGGAATAAACCAATCATAAGCTTGATATGTTGACATGAGTTCACACATACACGTTTAGTTTTCACTGACAGGTGAATGTTGATTTTATTCTTGCACTATTGAAATGTTTCTTATGTTGATTACTGAATTCAATCCTAAGACACGGCAGGTTGTCAAGCCATGTTTTGTGTAGAATGAAGTCATTATCTTGTTTGAGGACAAACAATAGTTCAAGTTTGAGGGGTTTGATAAGTGCGTTTTTACACACTTATTTGATCACAAAACATGACAATTGTTGATCAAAGGATTTGAATTATGGCTTAATTCTATGTAATTATATTTTGTAGGACTATATTAATGAATGTGGCGAACTTCAAGAGAAAAGAAATGAGAAAGGACAAAAAAAGAAAAAGAAAATCCAAAGTATGAGGACTAAATTGCATCATTTTAATAGTCGATTCAAACTATAAAATGAAGATTAAAGATGAGGCGGGTTCAATTGGACATAATTAGAAGTTTAATGGTTGAAATTACAAGAGAAACGATTTAAAAGAATCAAAAATTGAATTTCGGGGACTAAAATGCAACATGTGGAAGAAACTATAACAGGGCGATTGCCCAGTTATAAATTTCAAGCGACGGCCAACATCAAAATTCAATTACCAAAGCAAAAATCCATGCCTAGGCGACAGCCCAGGTCAATCGCGACGAGAAAAATTTGGTTTCCTTTTCTTATTGAAATTCTTATGGAAACAAATCTGGGGAAGTTTTTTAAAGCCCTAGAGACATCCAAAAGGAAGAGAACACGTATTATAACACATTCATAAGGGTTTTTAGAGAGGAGAATAAGGCAAGAGCGAGAAGATTGACATCAAGACGCAATGATTCAATTCAAAATCTAAAGCGGTGATGTCATTTCTTTATAATTTAGTTTGTTTTCTTCTTCCCATCATGCTAGGCCAGGCTTTTATATACTAGGAGATCGATGAACCTTGTAATATGATTTTTTTATTCTCTTTTTCTATATTTTTGACATTAAAACACGTATTGAATATTTTGAATAGTTTATATGCATCTAATTTCTTCCGCAATTAATGACTCGTAATTGTGTGAGTTTGGATGACTTTTTTTTGCATTCGAGAGAAGGGAAATAGGTTCGACATGGTATAAATTATCGTATGGTCCGATAGAGGATAGAGATATAGCGTTATACTCTGCGTGAATCTTTAAGTGCTTATAAAATTACATGCATTTTTGTATATTTGCACCCGTCATAGAGATATAGACTGGTGGTACATGAGAGTGGGTTCAACTTTGCTCAAGAGAGACTGTTGGATAGATTTAGGAGCATTAATTCTTCATAATTTCAATGTGTTGTCAAATTACAGAACTAGGGTTGAATTGAGCATTGCTTGTGGATTTGTGATCCTAGTGCATCATACTATTACTGAATGCATTAAATTGCGTTCTCAACATTTAATAAAATTTTAGTTAATTTAAACATCAATTTGTATTTTGTTTATTACCTGCATAATTAATTGCATAATTAGCTTAGGTTAGGGAGTAATTAGGTTATAGAATCACTTGTCAAAATTTAGTTTTGGTTAAGGCCTGGATAAATAAAATTGAACTAAATCAGTCTCTGTGGGATGATATTCGGACTCAATTCTCCATTGTATTACTTGTCAAGAACCGTTCACTTGTGGATACAAATTGAAACAATATTTTCGTGAACACTCACCTTATGTGATTTTTTGCTTAGCTGTCTGTAACTACTTTATTAAGTAGTTTTTTGAATACCCAGTAAAAGAAAATCAATATATTTTTTAACCAAATTGTGATTTTCTGAATCATATACCAATGTGGTGATGCGATTCTCCCAATGCTATTTTGAAGATCTTGAGATTCCAAAAATCTGATTTTTTTTTTATTCATTATTATTATTTTTTCAGATTGTTGTGGTTTCAGGAATAGTTTTGAGGTTATAAAACGAACCCAGTAATTGAGAGTAAAAAAGGGATTGAGTTAAAGATGCAATCAGGAGTAGGGAGTGTCGGTTCGCTGGAGGATGGCAAAGTACCTTATGCTAGAACGACAATTCAATCGACTAGGCCTTTCCCACTGAGATTGCTTTCGTTTCTCTTGCTTTTCTTGGTGGTAGTCAGTATGTATTCGTTTCTCAGTTTATACATGAGTCTGTTTCTCAAGATTCAGAATGTAATTCCTGTAGTTCAATCAAGAATTCAACCCTGTGTTCAAGAACCTCGTATTCTGGAAAAATGGATTAGGCCTCCATCGTATTTGATTCATACTATGACTGATTCTGAGCTGTTTTGGCGCGCTTCATTTATACCTAGGATTAAAGAGTACCCCTTTAAGAGAACTCCCAAAATTGCATTCATGTTCTTGACAAGAGGACCTTTGCCAATGGCGCCTTTGTGGGATAAGTTTTTTAAGGGGAACGAAAAGCTTTATTCAATCTACATTCATTCCTCGCCATCCTATCATCCAGATTTCCCGACTTCATCGGCTTTTTATGGCAGACAAATTCCTAGTCAGGTATAGAGATGAACGTTTTTTCTGTTCTGTTTACCGTTGTTATATGGTTATACCTGGAATTCAAATTAACAGACCTCTCAACTTTGTTGACTTATGAGTTGCTAAACTCGAAATGTCAATCTAGAAATCATATTCAACCTTGGCAGGTTTTGCTCATTGACTGTGTTAACTTAATTTCTATCCTGAAATGCGATGTTGACCATGTAATATTCGAAAGATCCTTTAGGATTGATCATATTGTGAATTTGAAAATGTTATTGTATTAATTGCCAGCAACTGCCCCGGATCATTGTATGTTAAATGATTTGAAACTTGTCAAGAGAACTAAAAGTTCATCCAAAATTATAGTCGGATAGGGAAGCTTCTGGATTATTTTTCGCGTTCAAGGTTTGCTTCGATATTCTTATCAGACAATTAACTAGTTGTAGGGTTTTCTTGTCGTGTAAACGTTTTTATAAAACGCCCAAGCATTCTTTTCTTGTAGGATACAGAGTGGGGAATGATGAGTTTGTGTGACGGTGAAAGGCGACTTCTTGCTAATGCATTGCTCGATATTTCCAACGAATGGTTTGTTCTTCTTTCCGAAGCCTGCATTCCTCTTAAAAACTTTAGCATTGTGTATGAGTACATATCAAGATCCCGGTTCAGTTTCATCGGTGCGTTTGACGAACCCGGTCAATACGGTCGAGGCCGGTACAACGAGAAGATGTCACCCGAGGTCAACCTCACGGAGTGGCGTAAAGGGTCCCAATGGTTTGAACTCAGTCGAAAACTGGCTGTTGACATAGTTCAAGATAGTGTTTACTACCCCAAGTTCAAACAGTTCTGCCGAGCCTTATGCTATGTGGACGAGCACTATTTTCAGACCATGCTTAGCATCCAATCTTCCCATCTCTTGGCAAATAGAAGCCTCACTTGGGTCGTGTGGCCGAGGCACAAGCCCCATCCTGCAACGTTTGGGAAAGCTGATATAAACGAGAATTTTTTCAAGAAAATTTCAGAAGGTAAACCATGCACTTATAACAATCAGCTGACGTCCCTTTGTTTTCTTTTTGCAAGGAAATTTGCTCCTAGTTCTTTGGAACCTTTATTAGAGCATTCATCAGAGTATTTGGGGTTTTAATAAGATATTTAATAATGAATGTAGATATAAATGCTGTAAAGGCTTTTATTCTCAGATTCATAGTCGAATTCCTATATTATAGTATCTACACTTGAAAAATAGAAGCCAGATTCAGTATAGAACTTGATTTGCAATAATTTCAATTCTTTACTGTTTTGTAATGTCAAATTTTTGAGTTTGGTGTATACCTCTTTATTGGGGGTTCATTTATTTTCAAGATTATTATATTGACTTAAAAAGTAACATGTAGTGTCACTTCCTAAATAAAATATCACACAATCAATTTTTAATACAAAAATTCAACATCTATGTCTAAGCTTTCGATTTGCTTATAAGAATTTTCTTGAACTAATATTTAAATGTTGATTTTATTTTTTGTTTTGCTAGATGTGAATTAAGGTTTCATGATAAAGAAAGGGGCATGATATGCCACTTTTTATTTAAAATGTCTGACATATGTAATTTGATTTTATAAAGTATTTTTTTACGTCAAAACACTTTCCATTGATATTTTAAAAGATCCTTGATTTTAGCCTTTATGTGTATTTGTGTAAGTTTCCCTTTCTAAGTTATAGATTTTGACGTCTATGAAGAGTTTGATTTTGGTTGATTTTAATAAGAATTTTTAAAAAAATTCAACCTTTGACTAGAAATTTATTATCTAGCAGTTTTGGAAGTTTTTTAAAAGAATAAAATTAAATATATGTCCATATAAAAAAATAGTTATGTGCAAAGAATCTAGAATAAATGTGTATGACACCTTATAATTCAATACGAATTTAAATATTTTACCCGGTCATTTTCTATTGTGTATGTACTAATTTTTGATCTAATTATTGTTGCTTTGAATAAACTCTTGCATGTCAATAAATTTCTATTACGATGAAGAAAAACGTACACCTAACCTCTTTATGCTAAATACTTTTAAGAGATGACATCCATCAGTTTTGAAAACAATATAATAGTCATAAGATAATTATTTTAGATGGGTAAAAATTGAAAGAGAAACTAAAAAAAGTTGAAAAATCACTAGTTTGATGTATTGAGAAATATAACTCAAATTATAGTACACTGATTTTAATTGGTTACCTGCACACAAAACAACAACCACTGATTTTTCCAACTTCTATAAACAAATTCGTTTTCAACAATACATTCTCACAATAAAATATTATACATGTAATCAAAAACATTTTTTTTCTATTTTTCAACCACATATTCTTAAAAAATTCACTACTTCAAAAACTCTTTTTTATTTTTTATGGTAAACAAATAGAAGCTTAATTTAGAATTTTTTTCCCCAAATATCTAAGAAGATAAAAATTTTGACATCAGAGGAGTACTCGTACCCCATCTTGCTCTTTTACTGTATTATTGTCCTTCATTTATGTCTGTTTAAACTTTAATTTCATTTTCACATTGAGGGTAGTGTTATGAATAAGTTTGGGGGTGGCATAATTTTGGTTTCCATTTTTCGTCGCATCGTTTATATTCATCAATAACTGTGTTTAATTTTTTTCTTTCTGTGTGATTGTCAAGTGAAAAAAAAGAAGGAAAAGAAGTGGAAAATTGGCATGTTTTGTCTATTTCTTTTATGAATTTGTGTGGGCTTGATAGCCTTGTCAGTTACGATGTGACTCTTGGAATAATATAATTAGAAAATTTGGATATGGTTCAGAAGTTGATTAACTCGTATTTGTTGATATAATACTTGAAAATTCTTTGCGCACGATACTCATGCTCTACATGTTAGGTTAGTAATTAGGTTTTTGAACAATGTAGGAGAAACCAAAAAAGCTCTAGTATATAGACCCATAAGCCAGTTTAAAAATAGTTTGGAGATGGTTGAACAATTATAGGAAAACTTTGAGATGAGTGGGGGTTCCATGCATGAATTTTTATTGTGTAGATTGCCTAGACCAGTGAGATGAAAATTAGGTGAAAGCTTGAAGTTGGGGTTGGTGTTGGAAACTGAATGTCTAGAAAAATAAAGAAGGGCATAAAACTAATTTGTGTGAAAATAACACTTCTCTCAAAACCCTTATGACTCGAGCAAGTAAGCTTATAAGGATATTTTGAAACCCGGTGCCCTAAAGCCAACTCTTTGGGAGTCATCGGCTCAAAGCTCGCTACACGAATCATATAGAAAGCAAGAAATGGAGAAGTTAATAAAAAGTCATCTGATCGAACCTTTATAACTCGAGCGAATAAGTCTGCAAGGGTTTAAAATTTGGTGCTCGAAAGCCAACTGATTTGAGAGTTATCGGCCTAAAGCTCGCTACAGGGGTTATATAGAAAGCAAATGATGAGATGACAATAAAAAAACTAAAAAATTAAAAAACCAAAAAATAAAAAAATAAAAAAAAAAGTAGAAAATAAGTGAATAAAAGACATAATAACATGAAGAAAGCCCTTGGACATTTGGTTGATGAAACTACACCTTTAATGTGAGGCACCTAGTTTAGTTTAATCTTAAGGGTTGAAACAATCAAATTAGGACAGCATCTACTTGTTGACACGTGAACCTGTAGTAGTGAAATATATCCAATCTAAGAGAGAGTATGGACTTAGTTGCTTAAACACCTAACTTTAGAACACACCCAGGGATAATTGAATGAAAAGAATAAATTTGGGGGGTGTGTATCTCCTGAGCGAAGTAAGGATATATTTGACCACTATGAGTCAGGAATAAACCAATCATAAGCTTGATATATTGACATGAGTTCACACACACACGTTGAGTTTTCACCTGACACGTGAATGTTGATTTTATTCTTGCACTATTGAAACGTTTCTTATGTTGATTACTGAATTCAATCTTAAGACACAGCAGGTTGTCAAGCCATGTTTTGTGTAGAATGAAGTCATTATCTTGTTTGAGGACAAATAATACTTCAAGTTTTGGGGGTTTGATAAGTGCATTTTTACACACTTATATGATCACAAAACATGAAAATTGTTGATCAAAGTGTTTGAATTATGGCTTAATTCGATGTAATTATGTTTTTAGGACTATATTAATGAATGTGGCGGAATTTAAGAGAAAAGAAATGAGAAAGGACAAAAAAAATTAAAAAAAATCCAAAGTATGAGGACTAAATTGCAACATTTCAATAGTTGACTCGGACTATAAAATGAAGATTAAAGATGATTCGGGTTCAATTGGACACAATTAGAAGTTGAATGGTTGAAATTACAAGAGAAACGATTTAAAATAATCAAAAATTGAATTTGGGAACTAAAATGCAACATTTGGAAGAAATTATAACTGGACGACTGCCTAACATCAAAATTCAATTACCGAAGCAAAAATCCATGTTTGGGCCACAACCCAGGTCAATCGTGACGAGAAAAATCTGGTTTCCTTTTCTGATTGAAATTCTTATGGAAACAAATCCGGGGAAGTCTTTTAAAGCCCTAGGGACGTCCAAAAGGAAGAGAGCACGCATTATAACACATTCATAAGGGTTTTTAGAGAGGAGAATAAGGCAAAAACGAGAAGATTGACATCAAGACGCAATGATTCAATTCAAGATTTAAAGCGGTGATGTTTTCTTCTTCTTCTTTTTTTTTTTTTTTTTTTTTTTTTTTTTTTTTTTTTTTTTTTTTTTTTTTTTTTTTTTTTTAATGATTCAATTCAAGATTTAAAGCGGTGATGTTTTCTTCTTCTTCTTTTTTTTTTTTTTTTTATAATTTAGTTTGTTTTCTTCTTCCCATCATGCTAGACTAGACTTTTATGTACTAGGAGATTCATGAACCTTGTAATGTGATTTTTTACATGCATCTAATTTCTTCCGCAATTAAGGGCCCATAATTGTGTGAGTTTGGATGACTTTTTTTTGCATTCGAGAGAAGGAAAATAGGTTTGACACTGTATAAATCATCGTAGAGTCTGATAGGGGATATAGATATACCGTTATGCTCTGCGTGAATCTTTAAGTGCTTATAAAACTACATGTATTTTTGTATATTTACACCCGTCATAGAGATATAGACTGGTGGTATATGAGAGTGGGTTCAACTTTGCACAAGAGAGACTGTTGGATAGATTTAGAAACATTGATTCTTCATAATTTCAATGTGTTGTCAAATTATAGAACTATGGTTAAATTGAGCATTGCTTGGGGATTCGTGATCCTAATGCATCATATAATTACTGAATACATTAAATTACGTTCTCAACATTTAATAACATTTTAGTTAATTTAAACATCAATTTGCATTTTGTTTATTGCCTGCATAATTAATTGCATAATTAGCTTAGGTTAGGGAGTAATTAGGTTATAGAATCACTTGTCAAAATTTAGTTTTGGTTAAGGCCTGGATAAATAAAATTGAACTAAATCAATCTCCTCGGGACAATATTCAGAATCAATTCTCCATTGTATTACTTGTCAAGACCGTTCACTTGTGGATACAAATTGAAACAATATTTTCGTGAACACTCACCTTATATGATTTTTTGCTTAGCTGTCTGTAACTACTTTATTAAGTAGTTTTTTGAATACCCAGTAAAAGAAAATCAGTATATTTTTTAACCAAATTGTGATTTTCTGAATCATATACCAATGTGGTGATGCGATTCTCCCAATGCTATTTTGAAGATCTTGAGATTCCAAAAATCTGATTTTATTTATTTATTTATTATTATTATTATTATTTTATTTTTTTTTCAGATTGTTGTGGTTTCAGGAATAGTTTTGAGGTTATAAAAAGAACCCAGTAATTGAGAGTAAAAAAGGGATTGAGTTAAAGATGCAATCAGGAGTAGGCAGTGTCGGTTCGCTGGAGGATGGCAAAGTACCTTATGCTAGAACGACAATTCAATCGACTAGGCCTTTGCCACTGAGATTGCTTCCGTTTCTCTTGCTTTTCTTGGTGGTAGTCAGTATGTATTCGTTTCTCAGTTTATACATGAGTCTGTTTCTCAAGATTCAGAATGTAGTTCCCGTAGTTCAATCAAGAATTCAACCCTGTGTTCAAGAACCTCGTACTCTGGA